TGGGTTAATATTTTATAAGAAAAAAGGATTCTGATAATATTGTACTTGAAATGGTTCTTATGAAGCCGACAATAACACAAAGTTGAAACTATGTTTTGTTTGACTTATGCAAAGATATGGTAATAATGAGATTTGAATTTGGGCTTAGTTTAGGCCCAAATAAAGGGGAAGTTTTTGAAAGAATGGAAGCAGAGCAGAGTCAATCTTAGCTTTATCCTTTTGCTCGTCTTCATCAGCCATCACCAGTTTCTTTCTCTCTCTACAATCTCTTAACAACGGCCTTCAATGGTCAGACTTAGCTTTCGAACATAGCCGAGAACGAGCATGTCTTCTTGTCTTCTTCCTCAGTTCAAGTGTCGTTCTGATTCTTTCTCTATTCACTTCAGAACCTCTCACTGCGTCTGTAAGTATCTCTCCTCTCGCTCTCTCATTTACATTCTCATATTCGTTATATGGGGAGTCTTATCTTATTGAGGATTCTCACAGTGTTGATTTCCTTGTAGTTGCTCTGTTTTCATCCTTCAATAACTTCAACTTTGAGATTGATATTGTTACGGAATCCATGAATAGATTCGTAGAATGTAGTAGTGAAAATCCAATATTATGGGTCAAGGGTTGTGTTAGTTACCACAGAAGCTGATACTAGGGATTTTGTAGACCCGATTTCCAATGTAAATTGTTGAATATTCAGATCGGTATGAAATTGTAAGTTAGCCTTGACTTGGAAATTACAGTTTTTAGTCTCTGTAGGAGAAGTATTGTTTTAGTCTAGACTCTAGAGTGTCCTTTACTTGTTTGATTATGATATTCCTTGAATAGTAACCGTGGTTCTGATTATAGATGTCAAAAGGAACACACTTTCAGAAAAGTGCACAGTGTCATATTTTGTTATGTCATCCTTATCAATGTGATATCTTATTTCTCCAATGTGACACACTTGTTGGAACATTGCAGCAAAACACAGTAAGGGTCCAGTCTTCTTCCAACCGCAATGTGCAGTATCCACTTCACCGCCTTTATTAACTTCTACGCTTGATGTGGCAAAGCTTAGACTCCCCTCTTTCGATACTGATTCTGATTCCCTAATATCACAAAGGCAATGGTCTTATACAAGAACCATTGATCCTTCCACTGAGGTAAGGGTCTTATGTTACCATGCCATGTCTAATACTGGTTCCCAAAACCTTCAGTAAGAGATATTGTTCAAATATTTTCTAGGCTATAAGTTCTTCGTCCATTGTTCAATACAAGGTCACCTCTTGTGGCACCACTGGTCCATTAGCTTGATAGTAAATAACTAAAATTTGGTTGTTTGGTTATTTGTATCAGAGTAGTGACTATTGCTGTAATTTGAAGCCCGCTTAATAACTTCTTTGTATTTGCAGGCAAAATATTTAGAAGCTTTCGCCTCTGAAACACTTCTCACAAGCGATGA